GAACCAATAATCGTTCTTGTACCTTTCTCATCCAGCCTTTGCTCCTTGTTGTTCGAGTCCAGCAGACCGATGTAGAACTGACTGGCATGACCCGACGCTGCCTCGCTTGGCTGCTGGTACCCTGTTACTGCAGCTGCAGACCAAAACCAAAGAAGAAGAATCTCTGTTAGTGCTGGTCGATAAATCTATTTTATTAAATTATTGAATTTTGGCAGATTTAAATTTTGGAAAAATCAGGATTTCTTTTTTTCCACCAATGCAGTCCTTGGGTTTTCATAGTACAGAGTGATGTCAGCATGCCCAGGGCGGCCATCTTCTATTGATTTGGACTTTGAATTTATGAGAATAAAGTCATAATATTACAAAAATAGTCATAATATTAGGAGAATGAAGTAATTTTATGAAATCTCCAACATGAAAAATAAAAAATTAAAATGAACGTTGAGGATTTTGTGAAGTTATACAGTAGTTTAGGTTTTACAGATAATATATAATTGACAAACTAAATCTTTTAAAACAGAAGCATCAAATTATCAACAGGACCGAGATCACATCAGATCTCTATGCTGGGGTTTTTTTTTCATAAAAATGACATTTTTCCTTTTAATTTTCTAACTGTTCTTCTGCTAATATTTTGACTATATTCTCTTAAATATACAAAACTTCTTGCAGCCTGGCCCTAATGTTACGTCATACAATACAACTCACAGAAGGTATGACTGAAGTAGAAAATACTTTTTACAATAGTTTCTGTCAACTGGCATTTCCTACCGGTATGTCCACATATTAACTATTAATTTGCACTTTATAGTAAACATTCAGCATCTTACCATATTTAAAAGTAGCCTGAAATAAATACATTTAAGGCCTTCTGGACTAAGACAGAAACCTCAGAATAAAATACATCTTAAAAGTGCTAACAGAGTCCAATACCCCTTTTCTGTTAATGTGAAAAGGTCCAAGCCCACAGAATTGAAGACTTAGACTTCAAGTAAAAAAGTCAACACCATTACTAAACAATGAATAAAGTGCTCAAATTAAAGAGGTATCACAAAATTAACCTGTGAAAAACAACCAAAAACAAAAAAAAAAAATAAATAAATAAATAAATAAATAAAACTGGTCAGTGTCTTCAGAAAACAAAAAGTGGCATCTTTGCTTGTTTCCTGATGGAACAGATGCTCCATGAAAACAATCTCATTTTGTGAATTAATCAGGTTGGAGGCGAGTTCAGACCAGAGCCATCACTCAGCCCTGATTCGGACCGAGGCCCGCCATTTAGTGATGCCTGATGTAAAATATAAAGAAAGACTTTTTGTTGGTTTTTACCTTCTGGCCGCACCGCTTTCTCACATGTTGTCTCTTTCTCAGCCTGAGGATCCAGAGAGCAGCAGGAAGTGGAGGAAACGGACTCAGAAAACCCAGAGTCTTTAGTCCGGGTGCTGGAGAGGGAGAAGGAACCCGACGCCTCGGAATGGATTGCCGACGCCTGGCTGCATTCCCCCTGGAGCTCAGGTGGCAGAGAGGGGCTCTCCAAGTCAGCATCACCAACCTGTACATCACCGCCTGCCCCCTTGGCCTCGTCTCCGGCTCCAGCACCATCAGGAGAGCCGAGCGCCATTGGCGGTACGTCTAACCGGGACTGGGGTGTTTCAGGAGACGTTCTGCCTGACTGGAATGGGGGTTGGAATACGTTCACAGAAAACCTGCAGGGACGGAGAAATGCCAGGTTTTAGTTACAGATCAGTTGCTTTCATCAGGATTCACACAGTCATTTGCTTCTTTAGCTGATGTGATGGTACAGATTCTGAGTTTTGCCATTTATGCAACACATCTACAAAATGGTTTTGATTTCAGATATTTTGCAGTAATTTAACTGCTGAAACCTGGAACTTCACCACCACAGCAGCAGAATTCATGTAAACTATAAAAGTACAACTGGGTTCATCTTCTATTGTTTCACAGCTGTTATGATTTAAAAGCCATGAATGTTTCTAAGCATAGCAAAATCTATTAATGCCAACTCCTGGAAGAAAAAAAAAAAAAAGAAAGCATAAAAAGAGCCTCAGATTAGGATTTCAATTTGCCATTTAGAGGCATCACTTATGATAATCCCATAGTGGATAATAACCGACATGAATTAAAATTCCTTTTAGAATGTTAATCACAAATCCTTAAACGGGGCAGCATTATATCTTTCCCAGGCACATAGTGCCACTTTATAGCACAATTAAGTAACCATGTAACCTTCAATTGTTATAAAATGCTATCTATCTATATATATGAAATATAACTTTTACAAGAAATTTGACTTTATAATTTAACACCTTTAAATTGGTCCTCTGTCTCTTTAAAAACTCCTGCTTTTTTGAAAGTCATTGTGTCGATCCTTTATTAACACTAAACATTTTTTACTAGAACTTCACTGAGAAGTAGCTCCTATGAGCTAAGAAGTTCCACCAGATGTTTGCTAATTGCTGCTGGCTAGTCTGAAGGAGCAGAGCACAGAAGGGGTGCTTGTGAGGCAGAAGCTTGGAAACTGCAGCTCTCAGGAGGAGCTGCGCCTTGAAGGCTGCACTTGGTTCAACCAGGCTTTGTGAATAGCTGAATGGTTACCATGGAGATTAAAGGATTTGTCAAACATGCATGAAAGAATCAAGGCAAAACTCCAAGTATGTTTTTGATGACCGAATAACATTATAACGGGACGTAAAGCTAAACCAAGTACTGCCCCTTTGATCTGCATCTTGATTCATTCTATTAATATAATCTCAAAGCAAACTCTTTCAAACACTGATGATCTAATCTAATATTGTTTTATTCCCAACAAAAACAGAACTCCTGTTTTTCTTAGGGTAAGTTTAATATAAAAATGACTGGCAGAGGAAGTCAAAATGAATCAAACAGGTGAGCAGCTGAGGTGGTGTGATTACCTGGAGTAACCCTCCAGCAGCTGGGCGAGGCGGGCGTAGGACAGGCGGGACTCTGGGACGCTAACGAGGAAGGGCAGGCCTACGTTCTCAGAGTTGGGGCGACATAGACTCTTGTGACTGGGCCAGTGAGTTCTCTGACAATGTCTGGGGGGACAGAAGAGAGAAAATACAGTCAAAGCTGGAGACATTCACAGTTCGGCTCTGAAATATCCCATGATGCTCACTGATTGCAGTAGCCCACTCGGTAGCAGCGGGTGCACCGCTTCAGTTTGTCTTCCTCGGACACCGGAGGTTTCAGGCAGGCAGCGCACTTTGAGATGGGGATGCTGGGCACCTGGAGTTTCTGGAAGGCAAAACGGAGCCGTTCAGATTGGATCGTTGCACCTCAGCTAACGGGCAGAACAACAAAAGAGTTTTCTTTATTACCTGCTGCACTCTGAGCAGCACCACTCGTTCTTTGGCCAGATCTTTGGAAAGCACCTCGAAGCAGAACAACATATCAGACGGTGACACGGTGTCCAGAGAATGGGACGGCAGGAAGATTCGCTGGAAGCGATTTTTCGCCACCTGGCAGAGAGGAAGTAGAACAAGGACTCCCATCAGTAAAACTTAAGCATTTGTCATATTATGGTCATTTTAGTACACTCATTATTCTGATAATTAATTGGATAAAAAATATTTGAATAACTTGCTAATTTTCCACGTACCTATTTGAGCTTATTCTATACAATATTAGAAATGTATTAAAAGATGAAAAACAAACAATTGAATCATTGTTTAATTAAGAAAAACATTTTGTAGCCTAAAATCTAATAGCAGCATTCCTTTAGTGATCGCTTGATTATTTGGAACAAAAGATGCATCTGCAGCTAAAAAAAATAAATAAAAATCTATCAACGTGAAAATCGCAGCCATTTCTGTTCCATTATTGATTGTATTCAATGGCTGTTTTTACTGTAGTTGGCACTAATTATTGCTTAATTACTGAATTATTCTGTTTTCTGCATTTACATAAGAATCAGATTTATTCAGTTCCTCCAGGATTTCACAAGCGGTTTTTTTTTTTTTTTTTTTTTTTTGCAATCAAAAATAATTCCAAAAAAATAATTCCAAAAAAATAATTCCTAAAATAGCACCTCAAATATTTTGAGGTGCTATTTTAGAAATATTTCTTAGGAATTTTGCTATCTTTTTCTCTTTAAGCCCATCTGAAAATCTTCATTTTTAGATGATCAAGATGAAGAAAAAGAAGAGAAGCGCATAGATTTGGACACAAACATTTTATTATTTAAACTTAAAGTTGGATTTTTGTTACTTGCTGTATTGATCACAAACTAACTTGAGATCAAGTAAGGATGAGGCAGCACTGCAGTAAAAATAATTACTGCCACTTGCAGGTGGGGAATAGCATCACTTCAACTAAATATTTTGGGTCATTTGTGTGGAAAATTTGCAATAAACAATTCTGTGCAAAAAATGCAAGAATCTGTAAACTTGGCTTGTATTTCTGCAAAACATTGGTCAAAATTATGTGCATAAACAAATGTTAAGAATAAAAATATACAGAAAAAAAAACAACAACAACAACAAAAAAAAAAAACTAACCTCCGCCAATCTGAGGTTCTCAGATTTGACTCTCACACTCCTGGAGATGGATTCCAGAACCTCAGCAGTGCTGGAGTTCTCCTTGCTCACGCTAACCAGAAACTACGACACACAGTGGAAAAGTGTGTTAAAGGGGGGGTCAAAGTGCAAATGGTCATGTCAGGAAACCAGGAGAAGAGAGAACAAATGACCATTTCACCTTGATTGGTTTTTTATGAGGTTCTTTAGCAAAGTAGAAAACGGAGAGCACTTTTTGTTTTTGTGGCAAAGGGACTGGGAGGTACAGGAAGGGGTCAAAGGTGATGGAGACCTGTAAAAAGAAATAGTAGGGAGATTGAGACGGGGTGAAGCCAGGACTGTCATTCCACGTTTTAGTGGAGCTGAATGTTACCTTGGAGCATGTGGGGCACACTAGCTTGGATTTAAACTGGCCTTGGAACAGATCCACGATAAACGAGTCGTTTCTCATCTTGTGCCGCTGCCATGCCTCCTCTGCCACCACCTGCAACAACAGGAAAAAAAGAAACAATCAGTTGAAAGCAAACTTTAACTTGGTTTTGCTTAATAGAAAAAAAATAAGTAAATCTCCCATGGGGCCAATTTTTCACAACCAGCCCACCTCATCAAGCCGTCCGTCAGAGTCGACCGTCTCGGTGTAGGGTTTGTTCTGGATCCGGTTCAGATCCTCGTGGAGTCCGTCCAGGAGGAACGCCATGAACTCCTGCGCATCGTGCTGAGCATAACCTGTGAACTGGCTGGCCTTACTGGCCACGATCGCCTGCGAGATCAGAAGGGAACGCAGGAGTTCAGACGAGACTCGTGAAAAGGATTGTGTGAGAGAAATGGAAGAAATATTCCAAGCAAGTTAGAAAAATCCCGCTTAATTAAAACACCTTTAATTTTGATGGTTGGAAGGCATGATGAGTCCCTTTCCACAGAGCCCTGAGCAGAACGGCAAAGCCGATGGCCAGCCTGCCTCCGGTTCCCAGTGGATTACTGCAGTTGATCTCGGATTCAAATGCTCGGTCTGACAGGGAGGGAAAACTCAGAGATCAGGAGGTTTTAACCAAGACAGGAAAACATCAGTACCTCATAGTAAAGCTTCAGACGGTTCAGAGGGCCAAGATTTAACATCTTAATTTTGATTAATTAATTAGATGGATTTTAATGTGTTAATTTTAACGCAATTTAAACATAGAAAAGTCTCAAATTGGAACCTTTGTAATCGCATGTTTCTAGCACACCCATAAATTTGAAGCACAAGTGACATCTGCAAACATCAATGGACAATAAAGCCACTTCTCTTGGTTCAGTTCTGCTTCAAAAAAAGTATCTGGTGGGATGCTGAAAAAGACTGTCGTTGAGCTCAAGTTGTGCTGAAAGGCGTTAGCTTATCAGCTAAACTATTCAAGCCTAAATTAGCATCTCAATGCTAAACATGTAGCAACAGCACAGACGTCCCCAACGCTAATGTCAGTGTCCACATTTCTAAAGCAGTTACATCAATGATCAGGGCTTCCTGGAACACTTTGCACCTATTTGACAATTGAAAAATCCAAAGAGATTAAAAACAATAAATACCTTTTTTGTTGAGCTCATATATCTATTTATTGAGTAATTCAGCAGCAAAAAGGGTACTTAAATTGAAAATCTTGCTTATTTTGCATAGTTTAATTAAAATGCAATAAATTAATTTCAGCTAATTAAATTAACTCAATTACAAATTTGAAGTTTCCACTAATTCTATACAAGGTAAATTACCCTTAAGAACAAGCTCCTAATGTTCTGCATTAATCACTAGTGTTTTAAAGCTTGAACAGCTAAAAGTGATGCAGATAAATTCTGTTAATGTTGAATAAACCATTTGGTTCCTGGTTAGATGATCATGGATCACCCAGAGCAGTAACCTGGTTGTGTTTACCATGGAAGTAATCCCTCAGTTCTCTGGTGTTGGACAGGGATTGGATGACGCTGTTCATGAAGCAGGTGTTGCCCAGGTTAACCAGTCCTGTGAATCCAGGCAGGCACACCTTCTTCTCCTCCTCTTCCTCGTGGCACTCGTTAGTAGCAGGTGGTGCATGCGTCATGGGCTGCACCATGCAAGTAGGCTTGGGCTGAGGCTTGAAACACAAGCACACATTTCCCCACTTATCTTCACACACATCTTAGTTTATGTTGCTTGCTTGAGCTGGAGTAACCTGTTGTGTTTTCCCCTCACCGTGGTTACCGTGGGCTCCGCCTTGGTGATGTTAACATGCTCAGAGACTGAGCGGGGAGCTACGGTATCCAGACCCGTTTCCTCCACTCCTCTGGGAGACGCCTTGGTGGGCTCCTCTCCGACCCTCGGGGGTTCCTCCTTGGCTGGGAGGCTGTGCTGACTGCTGCCTGGCTGGCTCTTCTCCATGCAGGCAGGGCTGGAGGGCACAGCAACCTTAGCACCACCCACTGCACCTTAAACAGGACAACAAAGCTTGTGGTTAGAAGATCACCAACAGACTCACCGTGAATTGTGCTAAATATTAATTACAGATTTCCTAAAAAATGATTTATTTTGCTTAAAAACAATTCTGGAGAAAGCTAAGCCTGCCATGATAAATTTTGCTGGACAGTAAATTGGCCCAGAGGTTATCACAATAAACAATAATACTGCTGTTTTCAAGTAATATAATGGCAAAGGTATAATAATGCAACAACACATTCTGAAAAATCAATAAACTTTAAAATTCTAATTAACATTTAACACTGGGACTAGAAGACTTTTTAAATATCCAAAATAAACAACAGAAAGAACAAATAAAATTAATTATTAAATTCTTTAAAGTCTTTGAGAGAACTAAATAGAAAGCTGGCAGCAGACCTTGTGAGGCCGGGGCCTCCAGGCCGCCCCAGCGCTGGCTGTGTCTCTTCTTCAGGGTGATGTCCAGGCGGGACGGGGTGAAGGAGTAGCTGCACTGCTCCGGCTGGATCAGGTTCCTGACACACAGGAGGTCACATCGCACTTTTTCAAATAGCTCGCCTTTATGCCATCAACTTCATGCAGAACTTGTACTTTTTCAGACCTTCGTTTCAAAGTGTTAGTATTAGTTGGAAATGCCAACTAGGCAATTTCCTTCATGCTGTAAGGAAGTCAGAGCAGAGCAGCTACCTGAGTTTAACTTGCCACTTGAACACCGTGTTTGGCCCACAGCCTGTATGAAGCCGAAGAAAGTTCACGTCGCTGTCAAAGAGCAAACCATAAGTCACTGGTTCTAATAAACCAAGAGGCAAAGCTTCTGCTTTTTAGCAGCATTTTCAGGTGAGCCACCTTGTCTGGAAGATGAGAGTGAAGTCCTGCTCTCTGAAGATGACCCTAGCTGTTTCCCTGCAGATTCCCTTCATGTAAACGTTGACCACCATCAGGTCTGTGCCCTTCTCGTACGAGTCATTTTTCACCAACGGTAGGTTGACCATCGGCTCGGGGGCTGCAGGGGATTTTTATAGAATAAAAAACCTGAACCAACAAGTGATAAATAACAAAAAAAAATACAGAATGCTTCCTCAGTTCCATTTTTCTGGACAGGATGTGATCACGGTTTAGCCCCAGGGTATTAGAAGCCTGACAGGCCACCAGGCTTTACTTTGTACATATCAAATATCAAAGCCTTATGGCAAACTGCAAGTATCAATAATGATGTAAATAGGGGGACGCAGATTTTAGGGCATTTGCACTGCAAGGGCAGACACAAGGTTGCTATTTTTGAAAATCACTGCAGAAACATGGACCTGGCATTCTGCTCCACTCATATTCACGTCCAGTTTAACAATGAAGGTTGGTATGACATTCAACTCACTCCGTTTTCAGATAATAAAGCATCAGTAATCTTTAGCAGTATATTATTTATTTAAAAGATTATTTGATTATACAGAAACACTAGGTTTTTTTTTTAGTCCACTGTTGTATTTTCTTTGTCCAAAAGCGCACCTCAGGACGTTTTCTGGGAGTGTTTGTAACGTTCTCAAACTAATGGTAATGATTAAAGAGTTAGAATAATCCCAGCTTCCTCAAAATATTTCCATTTAAATTGATTCTTTATTTGTAACCAACCTTCCTGTTGCATCATCTCCAGAGTGGGCTCTTCCTTTGACTGGTCCCGTTTCTCCTCTCCGTCAGAAGTGCTTGACTTCGGCGTTAGACCTGCTGATTGACTCTGCCTGTGAGCTGCGCCGGCAGCCGGTTCTGGTAGTGTCTCTGTTATCCCAGGCTGCTGGGATATGAATGCGTCCTGCTGGGATTCGCGCTTGGTGGGTTTTCCCTGCAGCTCAAGGTCAGTTCCGTCTCTCGGCATCTGTGGAGTAGAATCCGTGTTCTTGTTGGATTTGGCTGGGTTCTGGAAACGATCGATGATTTCAGGAGCCGTTAGCTGGCCGTCAGTCCCAGGTATTGTTGTTTCAGACACGTCTGATGACTCGTCTGTCTTCACCACCTTCACACAAAAAGATGGATATTAGTGTTCTGGAGGCAACAAAAGACATCTGTTAGCGTGCCATTGACTTTAGACTGAATATCTAAAGTCAATGGATTCTTTCACTACTTTTCTTCTCCAGAAGGAAGCAGGTTACCAAATTTCAGTTTAAACCAAAGTCAGGTGTAACATGATATCAGCATGTCCAGAAGTCTTCCTTATCCAGGCTGCAGTGATACAAAGTGATATTTTTTCACCCTAATAAAAAGGAAGAATTGCCTTTTATTTTAGTGATAAAGATCCCAACCACACAAGGCTTTTAAAGTCTGAGCAAAAAAAGATTAAACAAAGAAAATGAAAAAAAAAAATGAAAAAATCTTCCAGGTTCTTACTGTAGTAGATAATTTCTCCAGCCAACATTTTACAACTTGGTAAATAATAATAATATAAAAAAAATTATTCTGATTGACCAAGAGACTTCTCTCAGGGCAAACACTTGAGAATCTGAAACATTTTCTTTCTTTTTGAAGCAATAAGTGGTTCTCAGAACAAAACTGAGCAGAGGCTTTAGACGAGCAACATCTCACCTGAGCTCTGATTCCAGCAGCCGCCCCTGGGGCTCCAGATTCCTGGCTGCCTCCCTCCTTCTCTTCTCTGTTGTCTTCATGTCTGTGTGAGCTGGGATGAGGAATTTTACCATCAGCTGCAGTAGATTTGACAGAGGTGGGCTCCCCTTCTGCATCTTTGCTCATGTTGGGCAGCCGCAAAGTGTGTTCCTGAGATGGCTGCTCGCCTTTTGCGGCTGCCCTTGGCACGATGCTGGCGCCCGAGCGGTCGTCGGAGCCCTTTTTCACCTGGACCGAGTCCGCGGCCACCTTGTCGCCCGCTTTGTTTTTGAAGCAGCGCTTGAAAACGCGCTCGGGTCTGCCAGCGCTGCGGCTCTGCTCGTTGTGTGCGGGTGACGAGGGAGGCCGAGGCTGCAGCTGCTCTAAAGCTAACCTGGCTTTCTCTGACGACTTCAAGGTGGAAGGTTTGGTTTCATTTCTGGACTCTGGTCGGGCCACGTCCTTTTCCTTCTTATTTGACTGAAAGAGTTGAGAAAAGAAATGAGGCCATTTAACAAACACCAACATGGTGAACTTGGCAATTAGCTTTTGAAATTAAGTAACTGTAGAAAAAAATGTATTTTCTTCTGGTTGCCTTTCATCTTAAGTGGGTTTTTGGCCTCTGAATTTAAAACCACCAAGTTCATTAAAGGAAATGTAAAGTTGTTGTTGCTTTGCAGTAGAGATGCATAAAAAAATTCTATATAGAATCACAATTCTGAGTCTTGGGAATTCTAAATTGATTTAAAATGCTCAAATATCAATTGTAAAATGTGTTGAAGTTGTACGTTTTTGCCACTCTTATTTGTGAGTAATGCGGTACTGCATACCGCATTACGTGTCCACCATAATGCAGCATAGCATGTAACCTTATAGAAATGTATTAAATAAATGTTCCACTTCTTTACACTGTCTTTTCATCTTGTCACATAATTTCAACAATATCTCCAGGCTGTTTGAATAGAGAAATAGGTTTCTGAATTAAAAATCGTTTGAGTCAAATCATGACCCTAAAAATGGAATCAAAAGACACTGAAAGATTCACATCTCTGTTTTGCAATCCCACTCACAACTTTAGACGGATGCATATTGTAATTTTAGTAATACTAAAGTAAAATATATTTCAGTCTAAAGTTTGAACGCAGATGTGTTTTGAAAGACAGCAGAAAGAGGAAGAAAAACATTGAAAGTGACTCACCTTGAGAGACGGCCAAATGTGAAACGGAATCTTCTTGTGCAAAATGAGATGCAAAAATCCACCTTTCTCCTTGTACTGTGCTTTACTGCATGAGGCCTCGATTTCCTCCTGCAACTGACAGCTCCACTGCCGCCCATCTGAACAATTACAGACAAACCAAAATACAGTCAAAAGAAATATTTACAAACACCTGCCTGAATCCATTTCACTTAGTTTCAGTTATTAAGGTTTTAGCAAAACCAACCTGGGAAAGACACGTTGCACTGTGTGTCGGTGAAAGTGGTGTTGATGTCCTCTATCCTCTGCACTCCGTCTCCACAGCGCAGTCTGACCGTCACTTCATTCACGTTCTGCTTCCAGTCCACAAACACATCTAGAAAAAGGTTATAGATTAAAGAACTGAACCAGTCTGTACTGGAAGCACAGACTGGTTCAAACCAGTACACAGAAATACACATGACCATCTGATGTTCAGAAAACATGCTGCTGAAACATTCAAACATTAAAATGGTCGTAATTAATTTATCACATCTAAAGAACTGCGAAGTCGGAATTGTTCTAGTGTCATAATAAAGGCAACAATCCAGAGGTCTAAAAAATAAAAAACATTCATGTTATAGAGGGAGAATAAATAAAAATGGCACATGGAAAAACAACTATTTCTGCATATAAAAACACTGATGTGAATATCCCTATAAAAGTATGCACTTGCTATAAAAAATGTTTAACAGAAACAGATGTTTTGCACACATAAATGGACATCGTTTAAATTTTAGAAAAAAAAAAATCAGACTGTTTATACTATTATAGTATTTCTCACTGAATCATTTTCAGTTTGAACTGTTCAAAAGTGATGAATCAGCTAAAACAGACCTCAGAATAGCCATTATTGTAACGCATTCACATTTTCTACAAGCTCACGTTGATATAACATCTTCCAGCTGAAAATGCTGGAAGATGAGATATATATATACACACACACACACAAAACAAACAAACTCATTTTTTGCTAAGTTTTTGCATTACGATGAGGTCATTTTTCAGCCCCATCAAAATGGACGTATTTCGCAAAATTGCAATGGAAGCACTTTTTTTGCATCACGAGTCATGCAATCAACAACCAAATGTTACTGCTGGCGAAAACATTGAAGAGGACAACAGGAAGTGGTAGAACGATCTTTTCTTTATTCTGGACATCTGTTGCTGCCATGATTTTAAATGACTTATAGCATGAACAAGCTTATTTGTGCATGATTTCAATTTCATTTATTATTTAACAGAAACACTGCAATTGCAAAATTGTGGTGTTTTTTTTTTATCTTGGCAGAATATAAATAAACAATTAGACACATTTCTAATGGAAACACAGCAACAAAGGAGCAGCACTGCACCAGTCAAAGTTATCCAGTGATTACCCACAGTAATTTCAACCAGTCAAATAAACTGGTTACTTCAGTAGCATGAGCATTTTATTTATTCTCACCTTTCTTGACCTCTGCCAGAACACCATCCAGTGCTGCATTGGCTGCTGCTGCCCTCTTGGCCTCTCTGCTCTCCTGGTTGGCCTTGTCCTTCTGTTTCTTCTTACTGGTGCTGCTGGTCTGTTCTGAGCCGTTTTCCCTAGCGCCTCCTCGTTGCTGAGCCCCACTACGACGCCCCGCCGTCTCGCTACCAGCTACTCGGTCCCCGCCGCTGCTGGCCATCTTCAGGCACTTGGCGCTAACCGGCCGCCCGTCGCCAGAATCACTACCGCTGCTGGGCTCGGAATCTGAGGTGTGCCTCTTCCTGCCTGGCCCGGCTATCTTGGCGACGATACTGGTCTGAACTCTCCCAGAACAGAATCAGGGTGCTGATCGCGGTGTGGGAACCTGCAGCAGAACACAGAGGGCATTTCTGAAGCAAAATAACAACAACATAGAAATGTAAATATGAATCCTGTCTGCAAACTGTGGAACAATTAATAGTAAGAACTTGAGAAAAACATAGTAAGCTAACTTCTACTCGCATAGATCAGGGCCACCCTAAAGAGCATTAACCTTTGCAAACACACACAATGCTACAAAATATGTAAAGAAAAATCAACTTTTAGAATTTTTTTTTTTATTCACTATCCAATGAGTATTACATTCATTTAGCATAAATGTTGCCCCATACCTTTTGATTTTAGTTGGCCATGAGTTCTATGGTGGAAAGTCTTAATTATCAGATTATATATTATGACTTTATCAAGAGATAATACAATTTTCATTATAATCCCCTCTCCTGATGAGAAAACATTCAATGTTTATACTAGTTATCCATTTTTTAAATTGTATTCTCAGGTCTTATAGTTATTTGCAGCAGAGTGAGGCAGCCAGATGTTTTTTTTATGTTTGTCTTGTCAGGAACTTTTCCATGTCTTGCTTGCTTTAGCTTAAGGAGCAAAGTGTTTTGATCAATCTGACAGGCAGCCAATCAAAAAACAAGCATCAGAAATAACATTTAAATAAATGATTTTAACTTGAATATTAATTTTAAAAAAAACTGAAAAACAAAATTGAAATTATGATGAAAAATTTAAGATTGAAAAATTTGAGATTATTTTTTTATTTTTGAGTTTCTTTCTCCCTCATTTTCCCTCCAACTTTCTAAAGCCCCCACAGCGTCCCCTGGCGGTCGCTACTATGAAAAACACTGCAGTATTTTCAATCTCGACATTCATCAGCGAAAACATTTTACTATGATCCTTTGTCATTTAGCTTAGACTCCACGTTTGTTTTAACAAAACCTCAAGTGAGCTTCACAACTTTTTAGAAACTGCTGGCTTAGAGGGTTTTATGTGAAACAAAACGAAACCAAACCGGACAGCTACCTGGAAACAAGAGCATGACTTAAAGCAGCAGTGACAATTAAAAAACAAAATAAAAAGTCAGAAGAAAGATGAAGTAGATCACACTGATGGCATACAGTGACTGACCAACAATTAGCTCTGAACTTTCAAAACTCGTTCCATCATTATCTTCTATACATGCGTTTTGTGTATAGAAGATACACAAAATTCATGCATGATTTAAATTTCATTTATTATTTAACAGAAACACTGCAATTGCAAAATTGTGGTGTTTTTTTTATCTTAGAATATAAATTAAGAATTAGACACATTTGTAATGGAAACACAGCAACAAAGGAGCAGCACTGCACCACTCCAAGTTATCCAGCGATTACCCACAGTAATTTCAACCAGTCAAATAAACTGGTTGAAATTATGTGTGCATGTTCATTATAAAGTGTCTATTGTTTCAATCTGTGTTTAATGTTGCGTGTAAACTTTAATTTCAAAAGCTTAATTTCCATTTTGAATCATGCAGCAATACATCTAAACCGTTACCTTCCGCTTTATGTTCATAACAGATTTAATTTGTTCTGCTTGTTCCATAAGCACATCTTACCATGCTGTTTGTTCACCGATTATTTTTTGTAAACCTAAAAAGCCTCTGGACATTTACTGAGATTAAAATACACACAAAAGATATTAATTATGCGTCATATGAGGGCAACTGACTGCACTTGATGGTATTAAGGGCATCAAGTTGAATACAAACGATGACCACAAATTTTTTAGATTAAAAAATGGGAATACTTTTGCAAGGATCATGTTTGTAGTGTTGGATTTATATCTGAGGCTCCCGTTATCAACTTTTAAAGATAATTTAATCACTGAATGTATCTCTGAAGAATACATTCATTTCTGGATTTTAAATATCAGTCATATGAATTAGCAAATATTTTATGTGAAATATGTATGTTTTAAAACGTACAGAAATACGTTACTTAGTGTTTCAGGTATATAAAGCTGGAGCGAAAAGAGTTAGAAGCTCCTTGATATACAAACATTAGGGTGCTTTAAGCCAATTAGGAGCAGGTTTCAAATGACAACGCTGAAGGGGAACACGGCCATTACAAAAGAACCTAGGCTCTTTTCCCTAGCCAAACAAAACATTCAGCAAGTACCGTACGATAAAAGTAAATAATAAATAGAGCAACATAAATTTAAAAGCGTTTTAGTGCGCATTTATTGAGATACGAACCCTGCTCATAAATGCAAATGGCTTTATTAGACGACTCGCCCTTACAATTGGCAGCTCAGTAGCTGGTGAGCTAGCCGCCTGAAAATAATAGCGTTTAATGTCCTCGCATGTCTATTAAAAAATGTAACTACCACAACTGCGGTGTCCCAATGGACAACATTTAGTCATTAGACCTAAAACGTACATGTGTAAACAAAGTAATTATTCACCGGTGCGCTAACTTCTCCTTTCCGATAATTTCACTATAAAGGTTGTACTGATCTATTATTATTATTATTGTCATCATTATCATTTCTCCAAGTCCATGGCAGCTGTTAGTGCAAACAATTCATAGATGAGGTCGCTAAACCCGATATGCAGCAGCGCAGCACTTCTACCCGCAGAGTAGGAAAGGCTCAACGGCTAATGTCATTAGCAACATGCTAACTGTAACTGAAACGAAGGGTTGACACGGCTACCAGACAATAAATAAACGCTTCCTGACATTTCGTGACAACAAGCTTCCGGGTGTTTTAAACCCTCATTTCTCCTATCACAGTGAAATTGAAGGCCTACTTACCTTTAACGTGGTTGTAGTTCCGCCTGAACTCACAATAGCGGGCGACTCCTTGGCGCACTCTCCGGCTGCTGCTAAGCTTCTTCACGGCCTCGGGCTGCTGCGCTGTTTCTGCCCGGACCCAAACCCCCGCAGTCTACGGTGTTTCTAGAATGTTCTACATCTAACCAGGACCCATTTCTGTCAAACTAGCACGGCTTTTCCGATACTAAAGCAGAACACAATCTCCAAAATCGAACTTACTGCGTTTGTGTCATTGTCTTCGGCGGGTAGAACCTACTTTGTGGGAAACAAAATATAATACTGCCCCACCAGACCTGAAATGACTGCCAGTCTGCGCTACTTCCTGAATACCACGCACACGTGATCTGAATACAGTCTCTCTCTCTCTCTCTCTCTCTCTCGCTCATTGGCAACTTGGGGTCCTGCGAGCGTGAGAGATCTCCAGTCGGTTTACTTAAGAGGTAACAAAAGTCTCAGAATCATTGCGAAATTAAATTTTTCAGTTGCTAATTAAAAGCAAAGTAAACTTCAAAAATAACATACATTTATTAACGTAACTAACGTCATCTAGATTTTCAGATCAACACACACACAAAAAGAATTATTCAATGTTGAGGGGGGGGGGGAAAGACAAATATACCCAGTAATTTGCCATTTAAGTTAAATTATGCAACCAAGTCCCCAGTGGAAATAATCGGGCTCAGCAGGCTCGTTGACAGAAACATGGCCTCAGAAAGCTCACACCTAATAAGGAGAGTGCTTGCATTCAAAGCAAATAATGTTTTCAACGTGGCAGTATGTGATTATGGAACCAGAGGACACAATGGGTAGTTCTTTACAAATGTGCAAAAAAACAATTTTTTTACACATTTGTTGTAAAATATAACAAAACAAAAACAAATGTGTACTAATCTGCACATCTCATACAGATTATGAAGAGACAGCTAATCTGTGGGGGGGGGAAAATCAAGCTCCCCTGGCTTCTTCAAGTGCTCTCAGTGATACTACTAGACTCAACCAATAAAAATCCAGGAGGAGGATCTTAACACTGTTAATCATGCTGGCATACCTGCAGCTATGCTACAGCATCTTCCCAGAGTCTGGCAGGAATGATAAGGCTAATTAGCATGGTCACCAGTGATAGTGGATAAACATTTTTTTTGAAATATTAAGTTATTTCTGCACCATAAGCACATTGAGCAGTGCGTAGATGAGAATGATTGACAGCACTAAGATGCTCCTTCTGATTCTGATTAGTTGTTTGTGATTGGGAATGGCACATTTCTGTAGACAGCAATTGTAGCTCAGGGAGAAGGTGGAGGTGCTCAATCTTTTCAAGGCATGATGACGCTTCTAACAAATATGCAAAAAACATTTTTTTTATGCTGCAGCTTTAACACTCCAAACATGGCAACATCATCCTCAGGGATGTTTTTATTAACAGGGAAATGCAAAATGGTCTGAGTTAATAGGAAGTTTAAATCACATGGGATATTTTTAAATCAAAGCATTTTTTTTAAATGGCCCAGTTAAAATTTGACCCCAAATCTAATGGAGGACCTGTAGCAAAACTTGGAAATTTTTGTTCAGATGCTCTCAGTTCAAGCTGACCAAACCTAAGAAATTTTGTAAAGAATGGACAAAAATTAGTGTCTAAATGACAAAGGGTGGTAAAGATTTACCTCATCTGTCACATAAAATCCCAACTTAAAGGTCCAGAGCTATTCATGGAACTTCTCTGTATAGAAGTAAAGAAATATGTTCTTATCTAACTTTTAGCAAACTGACAGACCTATCCTGAATAGGAGTGGGCTCATACAAATATAGTCAGATGAACAGGCGAGCTGACTCAGACTAGTTACATTTGGACATGAACTATTTATAGAAAACAGCTTTGTCCCTTTTGCAGCTGCCCAATGAGGCCAACGTTATCCTCCATTTATTAAAATAATGCAGTTTTGTGGCAAGTTAATGTTTGCTGTAACGACTTTGCTTTAATCACGGATACCTATACTTCTATATATTTCTTCTTCATTGCTGTTAATCTGAGCTTGCATGCTGACTGTCATTTTGCCCTGTTGTCTGGTCCATCATTACATTTCTAACATGGATCTAATAAAAAGCTGACTCAGCTTTTCAGATGGGGTGCTGCTGGCTGGAGGACTAAGAGAGGAACACATGCATGTTAGACCAGCAAAAACAACCATCATGGAAGAATATTTATACAGACAGAAAAATCTGAAATGGACTTCATATTCATCTTTATTCAGAAAACTGTAAAACTTAACAAGGTACCTTTGGTGTTTCCATTGCCAATGACCAGTCATTGATACTGAAATATGTAAAAAAAGAAGAAAAAAAAGAAAAGATTTTTGCACTAGTCACATTTTGAAAAACTCAAACTCACATGCACAATGCCAATTGTCCACAATACTGACAGCAAAAGGCACTTTTAAAACCAGTATTTCACTTCTTTCACTTCAGCATCAGAGATCAGTAACTGCAGGTCTAGCTTGTTCCGTCACAAAATACAGCATGTGAGAAACATTCAGTATCTCAGCAGTGCCTAATGGCTTTTTTCTATTTTATTCCAGTCCATTTTAAAAACAGCTTCAACCTTTATGCCTAAGGGTCACATACTCCATTATACTCTGTAAATGTAATATCTAATGTTACATTTGCAAACATTTTTAAACAATGTCAGGTTGATGTTGACCATATTCCATCCATCCATTCATTGTCTATACCGCTCATTGCGGAGTGGGAGGAAGCCGGAGAGAACCTACGAATGAACAGGCAGATCGTGCAAAAAGACACCAGGCTGGGATTTGAACCCAGAACTTTTTGGTGCAAGGCAACAGTGCTACCAACTATTCCACTCTGCAGCCTGTTGACCATATTTTTCACCCTGTACACTTCAGACTTCCAGCACAAGTTTGACTTCTGTCATCTACAGAAATACTCAGATGACTCAGCAGTTGTTGTGTGTATCAGAAATGGACAAGAGGCTGAGTACAGAGATCTGGTGGACCGCTTTGTGGCATGGTGTGGGAACAATCATCTCATCTTAAATGCGAACAAAACAAAGGAAATGATTGTTGATTAAAGAAGGCTGGATTTGTTCTGGGGATGACTGTGGAACCTCTGGAGATTATTATGCAAAGAAGGATTCTTCATAGGATCAAGAAAATCATGAACAACTCTGACCATCCTCTTCACGATACTGTCTTGGCAAGGCAGAGCTTCTTCAGTCAGAGGCTTCTTCAGATTCAGTGCAGTGCAGACTGCTGCAGAAGATCTTTTCTGCCAACAGCCGTCACCATTCTAAATTAATGAGTTAAAACATTTAATTTCCCTTTGGGATTAATAAAGTATTTCTGAAATGAATGGAATTTAATATTTGTTGTTTTAAATCTGTTTTTGTTTAAATTTATCCTATGTGTTTTTATCCTGTTTGTTGAAGCTATTCAAATGGCTATAGTGTGTTGCCAGCAATGTTTTATACAAATGGCCACCACTAGACCACACTGTCATTTCTTTAGGTTCACTGTCACCAGTGAATAGTTCCACCTATTCATCTCAAAAGTAGTGTGTTGTGCAGAATTTTTTTTGCATTATTTGAATTTTAATCATGATGAAAATAAAATCTTATTTTCTGTAGCACCATGAGCTCAGAACATGGTGCTGAGCTCAGCTCAGAATACACTTCCAACTTCAGCTCAAGCTCACACTGAAAAACTGTATTACAAATTTAATTTGTACTTTCAGTAAAATTATTTAGTGAGAAAATAATGCCATGTGAAAAAAAAAAATCTTTGACAAGTGGCACAATTATGGATACCCATTCTCTCGTAAATAGCCCACATGGTTTCTGAAGGATTGTGGCCTTGGATGTTTATGGAAAATTGATTTTGGATCTGGTGCTCCACTTCTGCGTTGGTTTGGCCAAATATCGTAGATCATTATCCTTCTGAAAGTCCCGATGTCAAACTGTTTTCAGCGTACTGGAGGAGTTGACCTGATTTTTATTTAACTTTTTTAGCCCTTTCCATGGCTTTTATGATGTAATGCACCTATGGAACAGAAGCATGTCCACAGCATTGTAGCTGTTTGCAGCCAAATAGTTGTTATGGTGATTCAAAGATACCACTCTTAGTTCTATAGTGAACTCTGGAATAATACATATTGGTTTTGAAAACTTAAATGCAAACATTCAAAGTTGTGTTCCAAATTTAAAACAACAGTATTAACCACAAACTAAATGTGAGTAATATATGTGCTCATTGACAAACTTTAACATCCTTTGTCGTTACTATGTTTTTTTTAATGTAAGAATTAGCCATTTCCATTTGAATGGAAAACACTAACTGGGTTCACCATATGGACACTGGCTTGCAGAGAGATTTATTTTCCCTTGAAAGCCTAGCACCATGTCTCTATATATCTAACATAAAATAACAGTAGTGGACGTCTTTCCTTGCGGTTTTGGAGGGGCTCGTTTACTGGCATGTGTTGTAGATCTGGATCTGTTTGTTAATGTCATTGAGGATGCTCCTCATCTTGTCCTCCAAACCGTCCAGCTGCCGGACTCTCCCCTCCAGCTTCCTCTGGTTCTCCTCATAGTTTTTCTCCAGCTCTGCACCAAGCATGAAAAAGAAAAAATATTTCAGCCTTAAAATGTCACCTTTAATCAACTACATGCTCCATTTTCTTCCTGAAACGTAGGCAATTCCTCTACAACTAAGCAGCACCTGCTAGTTTCTGTAGCTTATTCTGAGCATCGTTGAGGAGCTCCTTGGCTTCCTCTCGGAGACTCTCTGCCTTCTTCTTGGCGTCCCGCACGGCCTTGGCCTTGGTGTCCACTCGTTGTTGCACCTCGTTGAATTTGTCTGTCAGCTGGCCGTCTAGAATCTGAGCATAATGTGGATTGTTTAATAAAATACAACAGAATACACTTTATTGATCTCCAAGGAGACAGTGGTTATTTGTTGAGACAGTGGTTATTTGCAAGCTACTCCGCAAGGTGTTAAATATTGATAAGTACAATATTTACCAATATTTAACAATATATGGCTAGACTGAAGGAACTGAATGGGGGAGTTGCAGGGAAGGAAGCCTTGAAGCTCGGAAACTGCAGCTCAGAGAAGGAGCTGCGTCTCAAAGGTGGCGCTAAGTCCAACCCGGTGTTTTGAACAGCTTAATGGTTTCCATATTAGATTAAATGATTTCTCAAACATCCATGAAAGAATCAAGGCAACACTGCAAGTATGTCTTTGATAAGGGAATAACATTAAGATATGAAGCTCAATTAGGTTGATTTTACATAAATCTGCCCCTTTAAACGATACGAGGATCGTGCAGTCAGACACAGACCTGCTTGGCTTCGTTTGCCTTGTCCCGGGCCATGGTGGCCGTCTCTTCAGCTCGGGCTGCTGCCATGCTGTTGTTGGCTCGCTTGGTCTTCAGCACATTGATCTCTTGTTCAAGTGTGCCAAGCCGACCCATTGCATCATCCAGGTTCTTCTCACTGTTGGAGGTTTCTGTCTCAATCTATGTAGAATAAGAGTTTGCAAATGATAATTTAATCACACGCAGTTTGGCTTGAAGGGAGCTCATCTGGCTGAGTCATTGTTGACATACTGAGCACACTGTTTTCTTTTAAAAAAACTGAAAACAACTGGTGACCACCAGGGGGCAGCAAACACCAAAAAGTAACAATATTATATATGGCAATAGAAAGATATACTTTCAAACTTGAATTATTAAAAAACTTAAAGTGCTGACCCATGTGCAAAAAGCATTAAAATAAATATCTACAAGTTTTTTTTTATTAAAGTAGCATTATTTCAGGGTAAAAATTAAGAAATAGTCAATACTTTCGCCCCCCCCCCCCCAAGTAGAATAATTGAGTAAGAATCACTTCAAAATACATTTTCAAATTAATATGATTTAGAAAAGAACTTCATATTATTAGAGGCTTTGCAATTAATTAATATGAATCAATCATATTTTTTCAGATACCAATATTTTACATATGATCAATTTAAATAAATTTTGTTTGGCAACTGAAACAATGAAAATGGATGACAGTGGAAAAAAAGTTTTCCTGAAATGTTAAGTTGTTTCTAGGCCATTAGCACATTTAGAAATGTACTACATTTCTAACTTAGCAGGGTTTTAATGCTGTTGATTGACAGCATTAAGACCCTCCTCCTGGCTCTGATTGGTTGTTTTTGACCGGGAGCAGTGCATTTCTTCAGACGAAGTTAGTAGCGCTTGGAGGATGTGAAGGACATCCATCTTTTCACAGATTTTCTGTCTCGTACTGTCACGACATGGTGTCACTTTTAACAAACATGTAAAAAGAGACTTTTTAAATAAAAGCTACATATCCCAGCTTTTAGGCTTTTTATGTTTTTATTTTTTTTAAAACATCTTTATCTAGTGTTCAAATAAATGCTGAGTAGCACTGCTGAACATTTTGTTCTATAAAACTAATGAGATTCATATTAACAATCCTCCATGCTCGTCATTTCTTCTGCATTTCAAACACAGAACCAAGACGATGCTGACCTCAGCCAGTCGATTCTCAGTGTCTCTGATGTCTGCCCTGGCACTCGCTATGGCTTTCTCAGCTGAAGTCTGGGCTGTCTTAGCATCCACCAAGGCCTGCTTCACAGTCTCCGCTGTGCTTTTCAAACCCTCAGCACGATGCCTTAACATCAACAAGGAACAAATGTCAGTAAATTAGCTCAGGTATTTAAAAAAACTTCCCCACAAAAAAGCAATCTGACTCCGTTATCACTACCTTGCCCTCTTGGCGTCCAGTAACAGTTTCTCTGCCTTTTGAACGTCATCCTGTGTCTGCTGCAGGATGGCGTCCACGTTGGACAGGCTGCGGACGCGGTCCTTGATCTCGTCGGCGAGTTGTCTGATCTGTAGCGGTGAGGCGGGGATGGAGAGCTGCAGCACATGGTTCGCCACCACCTCGATGCTGTCTGGATCGGCTCCCTCCTCTGTAAAGAGATCAAGGGGAGTCGGGGTTCAGCGCAGGAGGCTGCACTAACAGTGACTGCCGTTATTCAGCAAGCGTGAACTCTTATCGAAGACTGACGAGTGAGGAAGTCCCTGATCTGTTTGATCAGGTCTCTGAGGTTGTTGTTGGAGCGCTCCACTTTGTTCTTTGTGGCTTTGGCTTTATCCAGAGCAGCTTGGGCTTTACCCTTAGCCTCCTCTGCCTTGGCCTTAGCTTCCTTTACCTGCACAGCATACAGGTAAGTAATTAACCTTCAGAAAGACAACAATGAAATTTGACAAATATAACAAGAATTAAAAATTCCTGCTGAAAAAAGCAAACTTCAGAATGAAAAGTTTCCAAAAATATAAACGTGGACATTTTAGGATACAGTACCTTACAAAAGTATTGATAGTTGTGGGCATTTGTCATATCATTTGTCATGATAAATGTCTTAGAATGATTAGGGGTCTGCAACCTGAAAGTGGCTCTTTTGTTTTTGTTTAGAAAAACAAAAATATTTAAAAATATAGATTAAAAAAATCCAGATTTTAGCTGGGGACTTTTGTGTTTTATATTGCATGAAACAAATCCTGCGTTGAATTTTCACGACAGAATGACACAGGTATCACCAATATTTGTTAATTTTTTTCTCACTCATTATGTTGTAAACTTAGTGTTTTTTATTTGCATAATTTTCCACATCACTTAAATTGATTTAAGTTTTTCTTTGTTTTAAAACCAAAAAACAGAAATAAAAGGGTGATTCTTTAAAATGACCACAGACAGAAAGCTTAAGTTATCATCCAACATATTTGGCTCTAAATCAGATGTACGGTAGCTGGACTGAGAGTGAAATTGGCTCTCTGGTTGGTACATGTTGCAGACCATGTGATAGCCTCTGTGTGCTCCATGTGTAGTCTTACCTTGGTGAATAGTTCCTGCATCTCCCCCATGGCTTTGTTCAGCTCCTTCTCTGCATGTTTGGCTCTCTCCAAAGCATTGTCAGCTGCGGCCACGGCTCCATTGCAGTTCAGGCCTCCGCAGTGACGGTTCCCTTCGTCGTCACGGCAGCCAGCTCCTCCACAGGGGTTCTCTGTGCAGGGAACATCATCTAGAGAACCACAGATCTGTTGGCGCAAACGGAGAATATTAGCAGAGCTTCACAGCTAAAGTAAATACGGAATAAATTTGAACTTTCCTCACTTTTATGTAATATTAAACGTGATTGAAGGTGTTATATAAGCTTGTCATAAGAAAAATTTTTACTGGATGATAAATTGTCCCAGAAATATTGTGAAAAACAGCAATGTTGTTTTGAGAATATTTTTAACAAATATACTCACAATAATGCAAGTTTGTTCTCTCAAAGACCAATAAACTTTAATTTTGGGGAAAAAACATTATCACTGGAACTGTTATGTTTAAATATCCAAAACGAAACAACAACCAAAACCAAAACACGAAACAGAAATAAAAGCCACAAACAAAAGAAACCATAAATAAAATGGTTTATCATGTTTTTATAAACAAAATTGCCCTGAAAAATATAATCATCAGAATGAAAATTATTGAGCTCATTTTAATTATGTCTATTGTATCAGGCTTACTGTAATGTAAACTATTCTACAAATTTTAATTTTAGTTAGACTTACTTAGGAATCTAAAAAACCAAATAAAACTATTTTATGCAAGTGCCTTTTTTTTATTTTAATTGGGTAGGAGTGCACTGATTGGAATATTTTGGCTGATCCCTGATCTTTAACAAACCTCACCTGCCGATTCAGATTTTGGTTGATGCCAATTTTTTGATTGCTAAGTTGGTAACGATGGATCGACTGTTGTTATCTGCACATGTGCAGACGTGACCTGGTGGACGGGTCTGTCAGTCATCCCTCTCTCATGGCAGAGAGAAATAAGATGGTGGCTGAGATTTGATAAGATCAGTTGCCAATTGCCGATCACCCAAAATGAAGGAAATCAGGGCATTCAAGCATGGGATTAAAAAACACCTTGTGGTGTCAAAAACTTGAAAGCAGTGCTTCAAAGAACGAAGCGACGGACCCAACCTTCTCATTGAGCGTTTTCATGTCCAGACCCTGGGCTCGGGCCTTCAGCTCCCCCAGAGCCCGCTTGTTTGCTGTGCTCTTCCGGTTGAAGTCGTCCTTCTTCCCGGCAATCAGGCGCTCGGTGCGGCGGCGAGTGTCTGCTGACTGACTGACTGTGTTAGGCTTGGTGGTGGTTGACTGGTTGGCCCGTCGCTCAGCGTCTCGAGACATGTTGTAGGAGCTGCGGATGCTGTCATACGCTCCTGGAGGAAGAAAAAGGACCGGATCAGTTGGGGTGCATGTTAGAAATGGAAAACACAACAGTTTCGTCTGAGCTTTGTTTCATCCCACCTAAGAAATTTGAGTTTTTCAGGATATCCAGTTGATGATTCAGCTGCTCCGATGTGAGGTTCAGTTCTCGAGCCTCCCGCTCCAGAGTATTCAGCTCCTTGCTTGCGTCAGAGTTTCGATCCTGGATGATTGTTAAATCTCCCTCCACATGGTTTAGGGCTTCGGTTGTCTCACCAATTTGTGCCCTTTGATACACAACAAGGTTGAGTAATATAAGAGGAGGCTTTGAGATTAATGTCAGAAATATTTGACAATAAAAGTGTACATTTCTGATCATCAAAAGTTAAAAAATTTCAGCTTTGAAAAGTAAAAAATTTGCAAGAAAAACTCCGAAAATTTTAGATTAATCTCAGAAATCTTCCAGAAAAACGTGGAAATTTCCAGGTCTTTTTCTAGAAAATTTCTGAGATTAATCTAAAAATGTTTGAGTTTTTGTCAGAAATGTACTACTCCTTTTTTCTATCTACAATGGTAATCATAATTATTGGATGAGTGTCTCAAAGGTAAAAATTTGATTAATAATATGTTAAATCCATGACAATAATGTGAGGTTTAAGTGTCACTTTATGTAGATGTAGATTATTCGGCGTGTGTAAACTTAAAGGACTGTATATTTATGTGCATGAAAGGTGTAAAATTGCATGTCAACTGGCATGACTACTTGTCTCGTTATTATTTCAGTTTTATCTTTTATTGTCTGTCAAAAATAAATAAATTAAAAAGTAGTGGAGTGAAACAGAAGTACCTGAGATCCTCAATAAGAGCCATCAGAGTAGCCACAGCTGCAGTCGTGGCATTTCTTGCGTTGACGATGGCCTGAGCTTGAGCCAGCTTCGCCTCCAGGTCTTTGAAGGTTTTCTCATAAGGTCCAATAAGCCCAGTGCTTTGAATCTCATTGGCCCGCTCCGCAAGAGTCTTTGTGCGTACTGCCAGGTCCTGATGATAAGAGTGAAAACAACAATTTTTCACGTTTAATCAGTATTTGTTTGAGAATAAACTCCCTCATTTTTCACTCAGAGCTGCACCTGCACTATCCGATCCCAGTCTCCGAAGCACTGGTGACAGGGCTGGCAGTTGGGAAACTGGCCGGCAAAGCCTCTGGCACACTGGTCGCAGCGAACGCCCGACACCCCCTGTCGGCAGACACAGTGTCCGGTCCCGCGGTTACACTGAGACGTCTCAATCCCTCGCCAGTCACAGTCACACGCTACAGAGGGAAAACACAAGAGGGCTGCTTAATATTAAAAAAATATTTCATCGGACATAATATTGGTCTGTTTTTATCTTTTTGATCTATGTTTCCTAGTAGGCCTGTCACAATAAACAATAAATCAATTAATCACATGAAAAAACAAGCTCAATAATTTCCATTTGCATGATTTATTGTTTTTCTCTTTTTTCTTTCTCTTTCTACTTGAAACTAAAGTTTTTAGTTTCAGGAAGGATAACCTTTATCTCGCAGGATAAAGGTATCCTGCAAGATACCTTTAGCATTTTTGGCCATATCAAATATGTCTACTGGCTAAATATAGCATTAGCATGAAAAATACAACTTTATAGCTCATAAAATGTATTAGCCAACAATTACTGCACTCCAATATGACATTGTCCTTTACAATATGATTACTGCACACACTCACTGACGATGCAATTGAGATATATTGTCAAGTATTAGTGAATGGTAATAGCAAAGATTATTTAGCTTTTCAACACAATGAATAAAAGATAACATAAAAGTTAATATATTTATTTTCTTATTTTAAGTAGTAATTGAATTATTTGTATATTTCTGTTTTTATGTATTGTTTTTTAATATTATACAAAATTGGTTTGAGTGGTTAAATAAAACACCTGCAGAATGTACTAAAATACTTAACTGACCATGTGTACTAAGTTAGTGAATCGTTATGTTTCTGACCTCTGCACAGAGTCCGGGGGTCTCCCCAGAAATTCTCCTCACATTCTGTGCAAGTCTTTCCTCCAAACCCTTCTCGGCATTGACACTGCCCTGTAAACTGTGGTACAGAAAGCAAAAGAAATACAACTCTTAGGACTTTAAACTTACTTTAAATTTCCTTCCAGATCAGAGGATCTCCTTCCATCTTTTTCCTTAGCTTCCATAAACTTCTTAATGCTAAAAGAATTCTCACTATGCCCATTAATGCCCACAGCTGTAACACTCACAGGCTAGTTACCATTGTTTAATCCTTTATCTTATATGTGCAAACATCCCATGTCAAGCAACATGACCTGCCACAGCACAGTGCTTAGCTCCATGCCTTACTTACTTCATTGCAGGAGGATGTGACAGAGTTGTTGGGATCACAGTTGCACGCTTCACAGCCGTTCCCACTGGCCAGGTTCCAGTGGTTGGGGGCGCAGTGGTCGCATGCCAGACCTACGACATTTGCCAGACATTGACACTGGCCCGTGGCACGCTGGCACACACAGTCTTCACGCTCCATGCACTGGCTGCGCTCCGTGCCCAAAAAGTTGCATATGCACTCTGAACAAGGAAAAAATAAAGAAATAAACACAATCTGTCAATGAAACAATCTATTTTCTTTTCTGGACAGATTATGTTTTTAGAAAACTTTTACAAACTCCTGCAGTTGCGTCGGGACGCATCTCCAAAGTATCCGCTCCTGCAGATGCCACAGTTGGAGCCCTCTGTGTTGTAAAGGCACTTCCTGCACTCCCCAGTCCGCCTGTCGCATGCGTCCATGTCTGACATGTCTATGTTATTGTTGCACTGGCATGGCTGACAACGCCCTCCCGGCTGAGAGGGGTTGCCGTAGTAACCTGGGGCGCATTCTTCACACCGGGCGCCTGAGTTGAAACAGGAAGAGGGAGAAGCAAACACATTTCAATGAAAAGTGCACTTAAGGATTTCTCAACTTGATTTTATGGTGGATGGAATGGGGGAGGGGGGAAGCAGGGATATTGTTAAACTTGCAGCAGAAATGGGGCAGTTTGGTTTAACTGTGTCTTTTTTCTATTATTGAATTGGGTCTAAATAGTTACAGTCATTTCCTTCTCAAAAAACATAAGTCTTGAAAGGATGGAGATAAACATATGTGGAAAGCTGTGTCACCAGTATCAGCTTTAGTTACTCATAGCTAAACACAACACAGTGAGGATGATGCAGTGCCTCTAAAAAGTATTTGGATGTTTTCCCGTTTTAATGCTTTTACAAATCAAATATGATTTTAAAAAAGTGGCTTTTTTTGACCAAAACTTTACACTGTTAACGACAAAATAATGACAAACAAAAATGATCCTCAAAATAACAACACCTTCTTAAAGATTGTTTTTTTTTAATGTACTTTTAAACTGACAAGCTTCAGCAGATTGCATCTTCTATTCTGTTATTATGGAATGTGATTTTATGTTAAAGAAAGCTTAAAACCCCATAATCTTTTTTTTAATTAAAGCAAAAAGTACAGCAATTTTTCTAGTAATTGCTCGTTTACACAACCATTATGAATTTATCTCGGCTTCTGGTGTACATAGTTACCACTCACAGGAGAATGGTTAAAATTCAGATTTGGAAAGATCCTCAGTACAATCTGAATTGACCATGGGCATGTTAAAGATTACAAAAAACAGAGATTGGAACAAAAATGTAACAAATATCACCACAAAACAAGGACTAAAATGCTTTTTATAGTGACATCATTCAGTCGTGCATCAACTGCTTAGCAAGACACTGAACCAGACTGAGGAACATCCAGTTTTACTTAATGTAGAAAGATTCTGGGTCAGGTCTCAGTTTGATGGATATTTACACTGACCTGGCTCAAAGCTGGTTTTTGCATCATTTAATCTGTGACTGTTACCTTAGGTGCAAACATCACAACTCAGCAAGTGAGAGGAAAACTGAACCATTTTTTGAACCAGGTCTCACATGGAAGTGTGTTGTAGCACAACAGTGCTGCTGGGTTCATGCATGGGTAAGATTGGTGGGGAGGACAGTAGGCTCGGTGGATTAAAACAAAACAAACAAAAATAAAGAATAAAAAAAATAGGAGAGGGTAGCAGGAATGGGAGGGGGCCGACTGTCATTACTCACGCTTAAAAACGGTCGCCCCGGAGCGTTTAACAATCCCTGTGCCAGTAGTACAGGGGAGGAAGGAAATGAAAACCATTACCATTCACTAAACCCCAAACAGAATCACTGCTGTTATAACCTCACTGGAAGTTTTTACTTCACAAAAAGTGCCTTGAAAATTGTTTGCTCTCTTATAGATCTGCTCTCAGTTCTGCTTTTTTGCGACACTAAAATGTTTCAGATTATCAAGCTTATTTTAACATCAGGTTAAGATGATTACAAAAAGCAAGGGTTAAAGTTAGGGTTAGAAGAATTTCCAGCTGTCGGTCTGTGACCTAGACCTCAACTGCACTGAACTTATACAGCACAACCACCTGAAGCAAAGCAGCAAGTTTAATAACTCCAAAAACAAACAAAAAAGTAGATTTTGGAGAAGATGACTTATAACTACTTAACTACTTATAACTACTTAAAGAACTTAAATTTGAAGGCCATGCCAGGCGATTTAATGCAGGAAAACCCTCCAATGTGGCCGAACTAGAAGCAAGTCAATAAAGAGGGGTGGGCCAAAATTCCCCCAAGCAAAGTAAAAGACTCATTGTGAGACGTTGCACATGTGTGATGGCAGCTAATAGGACAAATAGTTGGCATGACCATTTATCAGGTCTAAGAAAGTTTTTTTAAAAATCACATAGGATTAGATTGTTTTGGATAGCTTATCTTCCCTAAGATGTGAAATAATCAAAAACTAATTTTTTATTTACAAAAGTCAACTTTGTCTCATAGAAAATAAAAATATGATGAGCTGAATGATTCATTTGTGACATAAAAACCAAACACTTTGACAACACAATACATATGTATCTATATGTGTCGATATCGATCTATATCTATATCGATCTATATTTACAGGGGTGCCTACAGGATATATTTGGAGGGTGTGCACAAAGCTATCATTGCACCTGATCCACACAAACACAGCCACTTCCCTAACATACATAAACCGCACAAACCTAAACCACATTGACAGGCCACATGAACGCAAACCGCATGCCACAGAAGCCGCAGATCTGATCCACACAAAGCTCAACTGTCACGCACAGTGTGACACACACACACACACACACACACACACACACACAAACCTATATGCCCACATAGCATTTTGTAATTTTTTAAAAATAAATTATACTAAATAATAAAGACACGAAAGCAAAGCCTACCCGTGTGAGGAGGAGGATGCTGATGCTCGGGTGGTTTATCTGAGACTTCCAGAGAAGGATGTGAAGCGACAAGGTTTGCTTCATTTCTCCTCTCTGTGATGTTTTGACTAGATTTAACTGTTCAGCTCTCCCAGTCTAACGTGATGCTGAGGAAGAGCACGGAAGATGTCACGGTCTGTCAATGGAGGATTGATGGGGCCGATGGATTTTTGTGTTTTTTTATACACAAAAAACTCATAAAAGCCCACATGGACCGCGCACATGCAGGATAAATAGCTCAGTTGGGATCAGTGCAACTCCTGTTAGATCTGCGTCAGCGATAAGTCTAGATATTTATTTTAAGCATTTAGCTGACAGAAAGAGCGCCAAATAAACAAAACTGACCAATAACATTCAGATTTGGGACATTCATGTGCCCACCCCCACAGACTTAAAAAGACTTGGGCTACGTACACAAAAGACCTTTTTTATTTTTTTTCCTACAATTTTGTTAATAGCAAATGGGGAAAATAATAAAAATACTCTGAGGAAAACCTTGAGGTACGTACAGTGCGTACAGCCGTACAGCTTCAGGCACCCCTGTATATTTATATTGATTGATTGATAGATAGATAGACAGACAGACCGATCGATAGGTAGATCGATATAGATATTTTACATTTCATACATAGGTACATACATAAATACATACGTACATAAAATCCTGTTTCATTGCATTAAATCAATTTAATTTCTGTCTATCCACACTTTCATCATTGTAACTTTTACTTATTTGATGCTTACCTGTGTAACCTTGGTTACAGTTGCAGATAATTTGTCGATTGCGGTTGTCTTGGTAACAGGATGTGGCAAAGTGGCGTCCACTGTGGGGGCCATCTGGACATGGGCATGGGCGACACTGACCACCAGATGATATACCCAAAACTGGGTTCCCATAATAACCATTGGCACACCTACAGGAACACAAATAAAGTTAAAAAAATAATGGGTGATAGGATGTAGGTTTCCTAAAACTCCTGTCGAGGTCAAAGTTACCCAGATAGCACAGAATGATTGAAACAACATTGAATCAATGTCAGCCAGAAACATTGAATCAACGTTGA